GAGTTCCAGGACAGCTAGAGCTGTAACACAGAGAAACCCTGTCTTGAAAAACCGAGAGAGAGAGAGAGAGAGAGGAGAGAGAGAGAGAGAGAGAGAGAGAGAGAGAGAGAGAGAAGAAAATCCCTGAAAGGAGTACCTAGCAGTTCGGGTTTTAATTGATTCTTGATGTAGTCAAGTTAACAACCTACTATTTCCCTTTGAGTTCATCTCTAGCGGGAATTGCTCTAATGAGGGTTCTATATGTATCCTAGGCTGTTAAAGGCTTTCTGAGGACATCTTCCCCATTGCTTTGGAATCTCTTCCAGAACTAGAATAGCTTTCTATTAGAGATTCTGGCCCTGCATAAGTGGTGTTGAAAATTCTGACCACACATCAACACTCAGTAGGAGTTATGACATGCAATTTCTCACAACTGATTTTATTTCTGCCCACGGCCCAGGACTGGCTGGGTGGGTTGTAAGTCATACAGATTTCCCTCGTGTCAATTCAATGGATAGCACTATTACTATGGCTCCAGAATATATGGAAAAACCTCATCATAGATGTTCCTAAAACGTTGACCCTCATCCCTAACATTAAATTCCCAGTCCCTAGGAAATATTCCTAGTCTAGCTCCCTTTATGTGACATACTATTTTTACTTTCAGTTTTAAATTTTTTTAGGATAAATTTAAGGTGATAGAAGAAAGGCTTCCTGCTGCATTTCATTCTGCTCTCACTGTTTTGAATTTCAAGGGAAATATTCTTCCTCAGAAGCCAGGTTTACCCAGGTGGCTTCTGCCATCACGAGAGGGAGTTAAAAGTCTTGTCCATTACATGGTAGTGCTGGTGCTGTTGGTAGCTTGGTTACAAAGGGATTTGAGAGGGAAGCAAAAATGTTATAGTGTGTCACTTTTCTGTTTCTCTTCATCATTGTGTTACGAGTGTGACTTTAGGGCCAAATGGCTATGAAACAGTTTTTGAGAAAACCATGCAAATACTTTCACATTTTATGCTCTTCAAAATGTGCCAGATACCTGCATGATAAGATTAATTCTATGATATTGTAACTCCAAGCCCTTAAAAGAAAAATCTAACAGTAGCTACAAAAGAAATGGGTGGATACATATTTAACCATTACAACAGGAAGCTAAACTGCTGGGCAGGATGGAATAGCAACAATGGTTGTTATTCTATAGTAATGTTTAAAAGGCTTGCAAATTAGTAAAAGAAAAAGTGAAGACTTAATCTTGTAGTATGTAATATATAGGAGCTATCAATATGAACCTATGAATTTTTAATATAAACATGATGATTGATAGAGAGATGATATATACATATACATTGTTTAGTATACGTGAACTTATTTCCTCTGTTTAAAGGGCCTTTGAAGCAATGAACTCTGAATGTCAATGAACACAACAAAGGTCTAATTTTTGGCATTTAAATATCACATTAGAACCAAAAGAGCTCAAAGCTGATAAAGAAGTGGTTAATTACAGGGCAAGGGCAGGAAAAAAAAAAAGTAATATAAAGTGCCCAGAGCATCCTCACAAGCCAAAAGTCAGGAAGTTCAAGAAGGATCCGATGTTAACAGACACCAGAGATGCCATCAAGGAGCAACCAGTGGCCAAACCAGAAGCAATTCAACCAAAAAAATTAATAATCATATTATTGAGTTATATCCCAGAGAACAAAGTCAGAATCTGTGAGTCCGTACAAATACACAATTGAGTGAGTACATGTTCCATATCCTCCATGAGAAAATACCCATATTCAACAAAAATATCAGACAGGAAAGAGATAATACTTCCTTACAGATGCTTTCTAACTAGTAAATGCTGCAAGAATTAGGGAATTAGAAAATCACCACTTTATGTCCACTTTATTCGTTGTTTTGAATTCAATGCAGCGGCTCCTCCTTAAGCAACTGCTGTCCCAACCGGCATTTACAACTCTGAAGCTACCAGCAGCAGTTGAGCAGCACTGGCCTCAGCTATGTGGGAATTCTGTTCCCTCAGTCACAGGCTCTGAGAGAGAGCAGGATGAGAAATACCATATCAGAGGGAGACACTATAGGTCCGAGAAGAGATCTGGAACCAGAGAAATCTCCAGAGACCTACAAGGATGACACGATCTGACAATCCAGGCAATGGTGGAGAGGATAACCTAAAAGCCCTTCCCCTAAAATGAGATTGATGACTTCTCTTTATGCCATCCTAGAGCCCTCA